AACCCAGGAGGCGGAGGCTGCGGTGAGCCGAGATCGCGCCATTGCACTCCAGCCTGGGTAACAAGAGCGAAACTCCGTCCCAAAAAAAAAAAAAAGAAAGAAAGAAAATGGGCAAAACAGGACCATCTTGGCAGGATTGTTAGAACTGTGGAAGTAACTCATGAGCAGCCTTCATAAACTCTAAGCCCACGGCCACAAGGATGACCAGGAGGATCTCCCCTTTCTAAGGGAGGGTGGACATGGAGGCTTCAAACTTCCCACAAGACGGGCCAAAGAAGCTGCCCCGACAGTCCTGCACTCAGCTGCCCTCTGCTCCCTGCGAGGGCCTGGCTCACCCTTCTCCACAGTGCCCCTCCACTTTCGGGCCCAGTCAGCCAACTGCTGGGCGTAGGCCTTCTCGATGCGGGCACGCTCCTGGAAGCAGCTGACCAGATCCCCGCACAGCCGGTGCCCGTCCTCCACCCGCTGCACCGTGCGCCTGTAGTTGCCAGCCTGGGCATGCAGGAGAAGGGTGCTATCACCAGGGAGAAACCCCATCTTGGGCCGGGGATGTCGGTGGGGTTCCTCCCCTAGACAAGTAGCTGAGCCCAGCTGCTCACCTCCCAGAAACTGCCCCCTAAGGCCTCCCCTCCAGCGTCCTCTTCTGGAGCCATGGTGTCCCCGCAGCACGGAATGGTGGCAGATTTTGGGCTGTGGGGGGCAGAGGGGTAAGTGGGAAAGCTAGACATGTGCTTTTGGGGATAGGAAAAGACCCTCTCTATCCCTGGGCCTCGTCCCACCGCCATCCCCACCACCAAGAAGCCTTCAGAGCTAGGACTTAGCAGGCAGAGCGCTGAAGTCCCCAAGAAGAACCAGGATGGGTGAGGATGGAGCCTCAAAGCTCTTCCTCTCACGGCTCTGCCCTTCCCCCCTGAACCCCCACATACCTGGGGCCTAGAGATCACTTCAGGGACCCGGGTGTCCAACTCTCAAAGCTGCCACTGTGACTCTGCCTTGAAGGAGAGCAGAGCGGGGGTGAGGGTGGGGGCCTAGAGCGTCCAGGGCGGTGCCCGGCACCCCCAATATAGCAACTGCTGTCAGAAGTGCCAGATTCCAGAGAGGAGAATGCCAAGCGGGTCACACAATCCAGCTGAGGATTAAATGGCAGGCGGGGGTGGGCGGTGGGCAGAGGGCCCCACTCCCCCAACTGCTGATGAGAGAAGAGGACTCCTGCCCCCACCAGGGGCTCTGTTGCCTTCCCTTGAGTGACAAGATGACCCTTTTACCCAAGAGGCCAAGTCAGAGGGTAACTGGCCACATCCCAGTAGCTCCTTGTGCTGAAGAGGGCACGAAGGGAGCCAAGAGGCCTGGGTTCTGTCTTGGCCAGGAAGCCTGAACAAGCACATGTAACTGTCCCCTCCTAAGGAGGCCCCAGCTCCAAGATGGAAACTCCTCCATGTGCTCTGCTGCTATGCCAGGGCCAGTGTGAAACTCAAACCAAGCAACACACCAGAAATACGAGGGGCACTGCAGTCACAGGAAGATACTCATCTCACTCCACACATCCACTGAGGGCCCGCAGGGCTCTGTGAGGGACACACAACCTGGGCCTGCCCTCCAAAGGCCTGGCATCCGGGGTATCATGGGGAAGTGAGAAGCAATGGCCAGCTATAAGAACGTTCCCAGCTGGGCACAGTGGCTTACAACTGTAATCCCAACACTTGGGGAGGCCAAGGCAGGCAGATCACAAGCTCAAGAGATCGAGACCATCCTGGCTAACATGGTGAAACCCCGTCTCTACTAAAAATACAAAAATTAGCTGGGCACAGTGGTACGTCCCTGTAGTCCCAGCTACTTGGGAGGCTGAGGCAGGAAATCCCTTGAACCCAGGAAGCGGAGGCTGCAATGAGCAGAGATCGCACCACTGCACTCCAGCCTGGGCGACAGAACAAGACTCAGTCTCAAA